AAGATGGAAGCTGTTTTTAAAAAAACACACTCCAGAATAGGTACTTGATGAATGATGATTCACTCGATCCATAAATGCATCCAGAGTGAATCTTATATTCTTATAATCATACACACAATCATCCGAGTGAAGTCTAAACGGACTTATCGATGTCAAATTAAATACGATTGTACAAGTAGTTTTCAAGTTTACTTCAGACCAAAAAAGTGGACATTTATATTTTGTATTATATAATAGATTATAGCTGTAGGTAATAGAAATTGTCCGTAAACTACTTTTTTCAAATGGAATTTTGTTTTATTCTGTAACTATGTATACCTATTCTAAACTCTAAAATCTAAATAATCGCGATTCATGATTGATTTTGAAAAATCATTATATAGTTCAATGTGAAAAATACGTTTGTGAAGTATAAGCCTTTTAGGCCTTTAGAATTTATAGATACCAAGTTTAGGAGTATATAGGATATATGAGCTAGAACCCTAGAACACATCAGCAATCGGCGAGTTGTCTTCGCACGAACCTCAATTGATAGTTTGACATCATAGAGTCGATACTACGATAGACCGCCCTATGTATTATGATAACCAATAACTAATAACTTATTACTTATTATAGTTATCACTTAGTACCTATACACTAATAAGTTATAAGTTATTTATAATAACCAAAACAACAATAGTTACACGGTTAGAAGTTGGCACGTCACGCCCGTCACGGTGGTTCGTCACAGTTGACGGCGACGGCTTTAGAAACGCGTATTATATAAATCGTATCATATGTATATAATATGATTATAATACTACAATAGTAATATATAAATATATTATACAATATACATAAATGTACCATATTATTATTATTTCACCAGTTCGCCACGGTATAATGCGGCGGTATTGAAGCACTATGACTATTATAATATATTCTAATGTCTGATCGTACATTCGTACACCAGGTATGTAATATAATATATATTATATTATTGTAACAACTAACATTAATACATTATAAACTACCAATTGCCTACTCATATAAATTAAATATGTTACCAAATTAGATACCTACTTACAAGTTACATCTGTGTTTCTGTTATGTATTTTTTAGTTGTGTATTACCAAGATGTATACATTAAATTTAATATGTCCTATGTTATTATGCGGTTATGTTAACCTACGTATTTGTATGATAATATATTTTACGATAGTTTATTTTTTTAATTTCCAGTAAAAAAAAACTGTATCAAATTTTGTTACCTAAAGGTTTCAAAACTTGATTTTTTATGAATTTTAAACTGCAAATATTTCGTAATTTTTCGCAATTTTGATAAATTTCTGTAAATTCCTAAATAACATTGAAAATATAACAGATTAATACATAAGGTTCCTCATTTGTTCATTTGTGTCAAATGTTAATGAACTTACGGCAAAACAAATATCAAACATTTAAAAAAAATATTTTTGAACAACAATATTGTACTATAATAAGAACATTTTTACTATACATAATACATTAATGAAAAAAAAAAAAAACATTAAAAATACGTATCTATAGATAGCACCAAAATAGCCAAAATATTTTGAAAATTTCATCATTTCTTTTTAAATTCAAACAAATAAATATGAATGGTTTGTGATAATTTCAAGTCTCTACGGTAATTTATTTTAAATGAGGTAAGTATAGGTAGGTACAAAAACTAAATGGATGGTATGAATATATATTTTATGGTATAATATAATGAATGGCACTAAAACTAAAAGGATTTAGTCTAAAACTGGGTTCTTATGAACATTACAAATGTTTTTTCCCTATTTTTTTTTATTTTCCCGATTATGTTTAATAGTGCCTACTGAGAATATTCCTTGTGAGTTTTTGAGCTCGTAAATTCACAAACTAGATCCAATTTGGAAGAAACCATCCTTAAAGTTGAAGATCTAATAATTTTGGTATTATATAAAACGAGCAAGTATAGRCACAATAAAAATACTCATAATGTTATAATTTGTAAAACCAAAATAAAAATTAATATAATTATGTCGAGCAACGATAAAATGTTATTTTTATAAAGTTTGGATTGTTTTTTTTTATGTACATTTATGCAATGCATAGGTAAAAACATAGGTACATTATTATTTTTCTGACAGTTCTATAAATTATATTTATAAGTAGATAATTTCTAACCACACCGACTGGAGACGTAACTAGTAMCTTTGACGTTTTCATCATAACCTTATTTCATATTCCTCCCTAAGCTGGTTGACCAAGTTGTTCAAATTGGTGGACCACAGTACTTTTTTGTGACATCGAAAAAAACTTAGAAATTATTTATTTTTTAATACCTAACTCGAAAGTTCAAAAATGCAGAACTCACTTTTTAAATATATATGAYAGATGTTATTATTGTTAATTTTTAAATACATTTGCAATTAGTAGAGCAATTATTATCATTACTATATATTTCTTTTTTTATTAGCTTCTATAGTATCAATCTCTCCAATCTTCGTGTATCATATTGCATTACAATTTAATAAATGAATTTCTGTATTTACGGGGGTCGTGTGCCTCTAAATCTTATAGGCCTTATGGCCACCAATAGTTTCATGCCATGGCACTGCCCAGTACTAATCATACAACTATATAAATAATAATTATTAAATGTATAGACTATAGTTAAACAATAACAAAGTTTATAGCCTTATAAGACTATTGTAATAYCAAATTAATTAGTACCTAATATGTAAGGACAATCGGCGGATAGGCCCAGTGACGGCGACAGGGGTGGGCCAGGGTGGGCCCGGGCCCAACATAAAAAGTCTCGGGCCCCCCCTAAAAATTAAATTTAATCATACTAGAATACTAAAAAATATCTCATGAATAAATCAAAATATGAAAATATAAAGGCATAATAGATGGCGTGAACAACATTTTGAATGGGTTAAAAACTATGCACTATGCTTTCAAGCCTCATAAATAACGTGTATTTTCCAGCGGCTGAATACGAAAATAATAAGTTATACTTACTAGTTATAATTAAATATTAATCAAGGTTATTAATAATTTTGTTGAAAATTCAATGAACAACGGGATTAGATTATTAACCAACTACCTATGATAAAGAAAATACAAGGGAAATCATTCTATTTTTATATACTTTTACATGAATATATATTTTGTTAGGAAATAAATACTATTAAWACATRTTTACAAATCATTGTTTTAGTAAGTTAACACGATGAAGTGTAAAAAAAATTGAAAAATTGGAAGTTGACCCTCCCTCTCCCCCCTCTGCACAATTGCCTGTCATCAATATTGTTTATATTATATATATATAAATATCAAGTCAACAATTTGGCCCTCCCTAAAATATTTGGGCCCCAGCCTGGCCCACATGGTATTAAAATTCTGGCGCCGCCACTGGATAGGCCATTTCTAGTCTACTGCGAGAAATTTAAAAAGGACCCGTACATCAAACATTAAAACTTAAACATTAATATGAGTAAGTTATGACCAAATACCACACATTCAATATTCCATCAAAAAGATGAAGTGCCCAAAATGCATTTTAGCATTTAAATATACAGACGGGRGACCACTAGGAAAATATCAGTTTCTCAGCAGATCTATCCTCTTATGRTAGTACTTAGAGCACAGTACTAGTAGTAGGCAGTTGCATTTTACACTAGTATTATTACTCAGAAGTCAGAGTAGTAGTTCTGCATTGAGCCGTAGTACAAACACTGTAGTCTGTAGTAGTAGTAACTAGTGGCATTTGGACATTTGGTAGTATTAGTAATAATGGTAGTACACTGTAGTAGTAGTAGTAGTAGTAGTAGTAGTAGTAGTAGTAGTAGTAGTAGTAGTAGTAGTAGTAGTTAGTAGTGTAGCACTAGTGACTAGTGGATTACTAATTTACCATAATAGCACCTTGATAAAGTAAATTATTGTTTTAGTCGTAACTCGTAACTCGTAAGCACTATGAGGAGGCGTTTTCCAACATCAACCATGATAACACGGTGACCATGATTATCGATATTTATTTTATCCTTTAATCATGGCAGTGACGTCTCACGTCGTCGGGTGGTGCGATTGTTGTTTACCCACCGCCGCGCCGACGCCACCCGTGATTCGTGTACAACACCGGTCGGCGGTCACCGTTGTCTCATCAGTACCCACTAACCACAGTTCACCGCAGCGCGCGCACAGTGTTTGTACGTTGGTCATGCTCAACGTCCAGCTCACAGTAGTGGTTTTTTCCTTTGCTGACAATATCGCTACGTCGTAATTCGTGTTGACAATTGTTGTTGTTATTGTTTACACGACGGTCAACGAGACACGAGCATTTAATAGTTAAATATTCAACTCATCCATCACCGTACACGTAYCGGTGGACTTTTTTCGTTTCGTTAGTTTCAATTTTTTCCCCTCCCCCGACCGACTCTAGTGTGCATCGTTTGTTTTTTCCCCCCAACGGGCAACGACTCTTCGACCGTTCGCTGTTTGCCGACAAGACCGCGTCGTGTGAAACGAAAACGGTTTCTTCGCTGCTCCCTTTGTTAGTTTGTTTATTATTACTTGTTACTTGGTTAGTTTTGTTCTCACCAGTACGAAACACGCGCTTTCTGATCCGCATTCACGATATTCACAACCCACGCAACCGTTACACGTAATATTTTAGCTAACGCATTCCACGTCGATAACATGTTCAAGCCTCCGTGTGCGATACTCTTGCTGGCCATCGGGTCGCTGTGTCTACTGACTACTGCCGCCAGCGCCATAGACGCCGGAAACGGCGATTATCATTCGTTGGAGCTGGACGAGAACAACTGGACGAATGTGTTGACCAACGAGTGGATGGTGTTGTTGTAAGTATTTAGTCATAGGTACGTAGATGGTGTGGCTTTTGGTGTTTAGAAAATATCGTCTTCGTCGTCCGCACCCGTAGAGGTAATCCAAAGCAACGCCATACATCTGCGATAGGCGAGTTTTGTGTCTTTTGTGTGAGTGAAAAATAACTTTTCTCACGTCGTGTTACGCYGAGACATGATGTGGGCCACGCGATATGTACTTTGTAGTGACAATGACATGTGGACATTATGTACAATGTACGTTGCGACTTGTAGTTGAGAATTTTAGACGATAATAATTTAATTGTATAAACYCTGGTGGAACAAATGCACTTTACCAACCCCCTCACGATTTTCAATTTTTTTTTTCAGACGACTTGTTTTTTTATGCTTAAAACGATGGTGTATTTTTTTTTTCCGGAAACCATTATTTTGGAAGTTATAGCCTTCCAAAGCTTGCGATTTTACGTTTATTCGCATGCACGCAACATCACTACTTTACTGCCGCAGTATGGGCAGTGATTACACAGTTTTCGGCACTCGTCGCTCCGCTCCGCAAATCGAAAATATCTCTCGATTTGCTGTGTAAAACCACCTTGGGTAGGCCTCGGAATTAAACAATGTTGTTTAAAAGCAATTATCTAGAAAAATAGTATTAAATATATTTTACATTTTTACAGTATTTATTTATTATTTATTCACCCAAAATATGACTATGTCCCACAACTTGTTAAAATACGTAAGAAAAAATATTAAAATTTCTTATAGGCGCTGTGCATGGCAGTCAAGCGCATAAACGTAAAATCACAAACTTTGGAAGGCTATAACTTCCTAATTAATGGTTTCCGGGGAAAAAAAAAATACACCATCGTTTTAAGCATTAAAAAAACAAGTCGTCTGAAAAAAAAAATTTGAAAATCATGAGGGAGTTGGTAAAGTGCACTTTAGCCATCCTGGTATTCAAGACCTTCACAAGCGGGTTCACAAGCATAATTAGGTATTGAACAAATTTGGGTAGCTCAACAGTTTTTTTTTTGTCTTAAGTATGATGAACTTATATGAAATTGGCCGGTACTTTTCTGTTATCCCTACTACTGCGACTCTCAATTCTGTTATCTAGACTACCTCGCCGATGCCGCAACTACTAAATTCTGTTATTTCGACTACTATAGTATTATCCAGATAGTTCCGTATTTTAATACATAATACACATCATGAATTGCCATTTATGTAATAATGTATCACAAAACGCCAAATTACAAATTTTAAAATTATCGCAGCAGTGGAAAGTTTAGTTATTATAATATAAAACAAAAAGTCATCAAAATTAAACGTCAAGCGGTAGCCGCGGCATCGAGCGGTAGTAGGGATAACAGAAAAGTACCTATTGGCCATATAATATTTTGACAAAAAATTCTATTCATTTCTTTCCACTCTTAAATTRTATAAGTAACCTAATCTAACCTACCTACTTAGTTATCAATTAAAAATTATATTAATAGAACAAAGTTTTCAATGCATTTGCATATTTTACCTGTTGACCATATTGCATACTAAGAAAGCATACAACTAGTTTTAATAAAAGGTATACTTTGTCTAGCGAGATAACATCCCGATTTTACACTTTCCCGGGGTGAAACCAGTCTTGATGGCAGGGTATCATGTGAGAATGTGCAGAATTGGCATGTTCTTTCTTGCTGATCAGTATATCGTTACTTAAATAATCATAAATATTATGAGTTTTGTTTTGGCCAATGTTAAAAATATTAAAAAAAATTGTAATAATATATTAAATAGAACACGTTCTCACTTCTTTTTGCAGAATTAGTATCCTGTGAATGAATTATAATAAGTGATTTATTTATTTTGTTTTTTATACAATGTATACAATCTATTTCTTTAGGATCAATAAGAATAATGTGATAAATGATAGTTTGTTATGATTAATTTTATGAGAGAAATCACCTAGTGGTAGTACTACCCTTGTTTTTATTATTTTTTTTTTTAATGTATATTATTCTTTGGGTTAAATAAGTTCTCGGCACCAATTCATTTTAAGTATTCTAGAAAGATTTCCAGGAATTGTGAGAATGACAAGGTTTAATGTGCAAAGGAAGTTTGGAGTGAAATTGTTTGTAAAAAGTTACTGCTTCTTTATGGACTGTTTTAATATCAGTGTATAATGTTAGGTTTGAGATATAAGTTGGAGAATTGGTGATTTTACGAAGGATATTATTTTGGAAAATTTGGACTTTATTTGTGTTGGATTTTATATTCTAATCGTAACTGTATTAATTCATAATTTATAGTACCTAATTATATTAATTAGTTAATACTTCCTATGCCAAATGAAATCAGTATTCGCATGACGTATACATATACCGATGTATTTACATGGAGTGTGGATACTCCATCTTTTTTTAGCATTGCTCCAGAACTGTAGTCCATAAGTCCACATAGGCTTAAACAAGGATATTTAAATTCTTGTTGATTTATACATTTATTTTTATTTTTATTTACCTTTTAAAAGGTTTATTTCATATTTGATAGTATTATAGACTTGAAATGAGAGAAAGTCAGTTCTGAATTTATACAAAGTACCTAAATATTATAAAGCTGATTTGTATCGTATAGCAACTAGTAATGGTACAATATTATATTATTTCATATAGATACCTATTACATTATATTTTCCTAGAATTAGCATGTCAGTGGCGGCTCGTGTGCTCTGAAAGTGGAAGGGCGATATAAAATTGCTTATTTATGGAAAGTATCGAACACAAATAATATTAATAATAATAATTTATTTTAATCTGTTTAATTAGTTTAATACATATAAATTATTAATTGTTATATATATTTTAAATTGTCAACGCTTTTTTATAGATAGAATTGATTAGAGTTACGACCRCATAAAGTAAATCATAAATATGCAAGTTCGGAATCCGTGTATAACGGCCAACGGGCGTTTAATATCATCGCCCAGGCGGCAGTATTATTATTGTGTTCCCCCTTCTTAGTTTTTGTATTCCAACCATAGTAATCACGAGCGCCTTTTAACATCGCCCAAGCATCGCATGTGCTGCTCGCCGGTCCCTGCAAATTGTTATTGGTTATCGATTCTCAGAAGCTACTGCGTCAAATGATTTATTTTTAAACTCCCATTATCTGATAATGTTTTCATAATATGTATTAGTGTAAATGAAGGAAACACAATTTTTATTTTTGACAATATTATACTACCTAAAATATAAATGAGAAATTTAATATTTAATTTGTAAATTGGTAATAAATGATAATTCTAGAAGGGGGGGGGGGCGATCGCCCTATCGCCCCTATCTACGAGCCGCCACTGGAGCATGTAGTTAAGCACGCTTGGTATCAATGTACATAGTAGGGCATTTAAAAGAACAATTTAATTCGAGCAAACTTGGTTAACTCCAAATCATTAATACCTCTAACTATTTTTGCCGGTCTCTTTAATTTAAATTAAACTAATCCAAACGTTGTATATTACAATTGCCTGTTTCACTGTCACACCCTGAATTGTTGCATCACAGTGTTATTTTTTACTTTTTCTACTGCTAATAAGAATGTTTGTTATAAGAAAAGCCCATATGTTAGTATATTGGTTCTCAAACTGTTAGGGAGTTAACAAGAGAAGTGATAATTAATCTTGTATATGTATGATCATGTACAAAGTTTGTTGTTAGATTTGGTTTTCTCTTTTAAATTTATTTCTTAAAATGATGATTTTATAACTAATCATTTTTGCTTATAATGAGTACAATCACTTAATGACAGCATTTTATTTTTTAGATTACATCTTACATAATTTTGTAACGTAACATTAAAAAAGGTACTATTTCTTTTGTCATAAGTAACAAAATAATTAAGTAYCTAAATATTAAATAATTTTTTTCAATTTTATTTTATATTCTATGGAATAGGAACATGAAAAATATTTATTATTTTTAAAGAGGCTAATTAAAAAAAATTTGGAAACCACTGTACTGTTGGTAGATTTATGATACAAAGTGCTTAGTCACGTAAATCTAACAAAAAATCTGCAATTAGTGCTATATATTTGTGTAAATTGACATAATTTTCTATTACAATATTTAAAAACAAAATTTGTTAGGTACAAGGCTTTATAAATTAAAGTGATTTTACATAATTTTTAATGATGAGCATTCAATAAAGGAGACTACTGTCTCTGTGATAATTCTATTTATATATTATACTATAAATTATTTTTATAMATTTGAAAAGCAATAATTTAAATGTAATAAAATTATAATTAAAAATTCCTTAATTGTTTCACATTTTTCTTCATTAGAAAGTATGTAAACAATCATATTTTTAAAATTTATGTTTTATGTTTAACAAATAATATACCTACTCATTGTATATAAAAAAAATATATATATTACCTAGATAATGTTCTACTTCATCAATAATATATTTTTATTAAAACTTTTTTTTTTGTTCTGTTATGCCCTCGGTTATGCCATATTGCAGGTATACAAATACCTAAGATAAGCATTGCATTTTAATTTTGTTTAATTTACGATGAATGATTATAATTTATATATATTATATATTATTAATTATAATCATCATAAATTATAATATGTTTTTATATAATATAGGATAATTATAATTTATGGTTAGTTTATATTCAAACATGTATTTGCATCCTTGACTTTCACGTTAAAAATATGTGTTTTAATTGGCCTTCTAGTTAAAAACCTAAATTCAAATTCCCTCAAATAACATGAATTAAGCAGCTAAAAATAAAAAAACATCAAAGTATAAATAATCTTTTATTAATCTATTTTTATATAATTAATTAATATTACTATGTATACTTTTTATTTATTTAATTAAAATTCTACATACACGTTTATTTCACAATAATTTAGATGCAACGTTTTATATCTAGTTGTAACACAATTACATTTAATATTGTAAGTATTAGTCATTATTAGTATAACTCTCAGTATAACTGGTTCCAAACATCAAATATTAAAATATAAATAGTTGCTTATTTTGCTTTTATATCTAAGTTTTACATTTATACTTGTTTCTTAATAAGCAAGGTTTTATTTGTAAATATATAATTATTTGTTTATATTAAATGTAATAATTATTATTCTAATACAATTTGTAGGTACTATTAATCAATATTTTAAGGTGTTAAATTTATTGAGTGTCTCCAATATTGATCACTGAGTATCTGACTTTATTTTTTATCAATTTAGTTAAGTTGAAAAATAAAACTTAAATAGGTAGGTAGCATGATTGAATTTGGTTTCCCCTTAAGAGGACGCCACACCCGCATGTGTTGTCTCCGTCGTACAAGTGCGTAGCATAACAAATTTTACGCTCAGCAGATCACGTTTATCTCCGTTAAATTAAAATTTAGAGTGAATTGACCTATTATAAAAATTAAAGGCAAGATTATTACCGAGGGCATCTCATAGGCTTTTTATTATATTTTAATTGTAAACCGAGTTATGAGTATTTTTAGATATAAAAATAATTTACAATTTTAAAATAGTCATAACTCAGTTTAAAATTAAAATATAATAAAAAGCCTATGAGATGCCCTCGGTAATAATCATGTCTTTAATTTTTATAATAAGTCAATTCACTCTAAATTTTAAATTAATGGAGATAAATGTGATCTGCTGAGCGTAAAATTTGCTATGCTACGCACTTGTACGACGTAGACAACACATGCAGGTGTGGCTTCCTCTAAATAAGTCGTATCTAAAATATATTATACCTATTGAACCTATTTTAAACACTGAAAACTGAAAATTGATAATAATGTACACAGCTCCATTGCTCCAATATTTATTATTATAAGTATATAATCATGGTTCTAATCCTTAATTTGTATGTCCTTTATAGTATACTCATTGATATATAAAATACATTATTGTATTATCAAATATATGTGGACTAGTGTTGACATGTAAATCATTAATTAAGATACTATTTGTCTTATTACAGATAGATAATAAATTAATATTATTGTTATTTCCTAACACAACTTGTAGGTATTGTCATCAACATTTTAATTTTTATAATATATCCCTTGACTCAATTGTAATTTAGGAAAATATCAAAATAATGGGTGAATATGATATAATTTAATGCATTGATAACTATAAGACTACATAAATGCCGCTAAAATTTAGTATTTAAAATGTAGGCATGATGTGTCCTTTACTCCCCACAAATTAGTTTTAAATAATTTTCACTTGAAACTCAGTTTTTAAATCTTTGGATTGAGTTCTTCTGCTTAAGTTTTCCTAATTCTATCACTGAATTTCTAACACAATGATAAAACAATTGACCATGATCTTAGCACAAGAAAAGTTATGTATGTATGTTTAATATATTTATATATAGTTGTATACCTATATATCACCTGTAATGTTATATTCATTTTGGATACTGTTATTTTGATAAAAATTAATCTAAGAGATGTTTAATGAATATAAGAATTATAATAATTATAAGAACTGTTATATTTTTATCGCTCATCAGTTTACTATTAAATATAAAATAAATCTTATATCCTATATCCTATTATGTAGTTATTTATAAACAATAACTTTTTTTTTTAATGTAGGTATATACTTAATATAATTTTTATAGTATTAATTTAGAGCATTTATTTTATTTTAGCTATGCACCTTGGTGCCCTGCTTGTAAGTCACTTGAACCAGAATGGAGAGAATTTGCAAAATGGAGTAAAAGTCATTCATCCATTTCAGTTGCTAGCACAGATATTACAATATCACCAGGACTTACCGGACGTTTTATTGTTACAACTTTACCTACTATTTTTCAGTGAGATATATTATCTAATAATTTTAATTAGCCTAAATATAAAACAAATTTTTATCTAGTAATAATTATAAATTTTTGTTAACCTTAGTGTTAAGGATGGTGTATTCAGACATTATAAAATGGGCCGTGATAAGGATTCAATGATATCGTTTATAAAAGAGAAAAAATGGGAACAAATAGATTCGATTTCATCATGGAAATCTCCTAATTCAATCCAAATGTCTCTAGTTGCTCAATTCTTTAAACTCTCACAAAAAGTTAGGGTAAGTGTCAAGTTATTTTTATGATTAAATTAATTAACAAAATTAATGGTTTTTTGTATTTGTTTTTATTAAGGTTTTACATTCAACTTTGATGGCTGAGTATGGACTTCCAACTTGGGGATCATACTTGATATTTGCAATAGTAACCATACTTTTTGGTGCCGTGCTAGGTTTAGTAAGTATACCTACAATTTTGTTTATTTATTTTTGGGTTTTGTTACTTCTTAAATTTAGAAAAATTAATATTTATCCTTCTATGGCTTGTTCAATGTTAGAAAAAAAAAATGTAATATATATACATATTTAAATTATTAGATAAATTGAATACGATTTGTGGTTTTCATTGGTTGAAACATTTTACTTTAAAATACAAATTTAATTATTATAATATAATAATATATTAATTATATAGATATAATATGAATTATTTAGATGCTCAATTGGGAGACTATTCCAGGTTATCTTCAATTGAATAATGTTATCTTCTAAACTGCTGTGAAATAACACTTCGATAATTAAAACATGTTTGCTAAAGTTATAGCTTAAAAATTGACATAAATGTGTTATTTTTGTATGATCTATTCAAATACATGAGAATATGAAATAGTTACTTTTTCTTCTGCAATTTTTCTATAAACTTTTATTTATATATCTGAATTCAACAATTATTCCCACTAAAAAAATAAGTAATAGTATTTTACTCAATCAAATGTATAATATTTTAATTATCTTTAGGTATTGGTCTGCATTATTGATTTAGTTTATCCTCCAAGCCACCATAAAATGCCAGTTAAAGATGGAAAAGATGAAAACAGCGATAGTGGTCAAGAATCGGTTAGTAAATAACTTGAGATTGTTTTGTTCGTTTCCTATATGGTTACTAGGTAAACTAATAAAACTTAATATTATTTCAGGATGACGATGAACTTGTTAGAGACGAATTGTTGGATGATCAAGCTAACAATGAGCCAACTGAAAGTGAACCTTTAGTGAGGAATAGACGCAAAATACGTAAAACTGACTGATAACTTTTATTAAGCTAAGGCATAACTATTTCTTCATTATAATTCCAATTAATATAATTTATACCAATTAATGTATTATAGTTTTTTTTTAAATATAAAGCATTATATTGATATTATTATTAATTTATTTTTTAGGTTCAGATTTAATTAAGTTAATTAATATTGAATACTTAACCATAAGCAAGCAATTATTTTTTTAATTTATTAATTTTTTTTAAAGAAAATTTAGGCTTAAAGCATTAGCTGTATTGCTTGCTTGTTCCTAAATCATTGTAAGTAGTCATTTTTATATGCAACTTTTTTTGAAATGTTTCATTCATGTATATAAATATAAATAAATAGCCAAACCTTATATCTACTCTGTTTTTATTAATTCATGAATAATCTTAACTATCTTTTTTAATTTTTAAAATAATACTTGAATGTCATGGAATTTAAAACAGTCATAACATTTTAAATATTATGAAAGTCTTTATCAATACAATGCCAAGTATCTGGGGTTAGAATTAAATATCTATTTGATCACAAATATTTTGTCTTAATAGCACGTCAATGTAATATTTGATATTTCTCTTGCTCGTGTGTATTATTGAGACAACTCATTCATACAACACTGTTTATATTTTTTTGAAGTAGCCATAGAATATAAACAATAAAATCAATGTTAAACAAGTCTTAGAGAATAATATTTTTGAGGTTTGAAACATAAATTTTGTTWAACATAAATGCTACCCCAAAACAATTGAATACCCATTAAATGTACAGCAATTTATTTTTWATTTTTAAAGTCTTAACCTAATATAAATTGAAACCAATGTATCAAACTCTCTAATATTTAATCCTTTATAATTTTTGTAATGAGTAATTTTCTTCGAGATACCTGAAAATCAATAGAAAAAAAGAAGATTTTATGTACCTGGAAAACAAATTTTGCTCTATCTAAAGTTGATACTTTTAGAAAATAGCAAGCTAGCAATCTAATCATGAATACTGACAGTATTTAAATTACTTATTATTAATGACCAACACATCTTACAAAAAAAATGAAAATTATATTTAAATTGTTTAAACCCTTCTAACTTACTCTATCCAGCAAAAAAAATGTGAAAATTATGCATACCTTTCGTGTCAATTGTTATGAAACTGGCTGTTCTTTGGCAGATTGTTGAATGGGAATGCGCAGAAGAAACAATTTTAGTCAGCCCAGTGTGTTTAAGCGCATTAGCTTTCTTAAATTCTCAAATTGGTGACAGACAATTTTCTAGTTGATAAAAACCAAAAATATTTTTATTAGTTTTGCTCGTAATTTAGATTTTGGTAAAAGCTTAAGAAAGTGCTTATTTTGGGCTTAAATATTTGTTGGTTCAGAATATTTTCTATAATTTTTTGTGCTACTGACACTTGCTAATTTTGAGAATCAAATTTGTGTAAACTACTAATTAGAACAAAACGATTATTCTTCATTGGTATGGCATTCCTTGTATATAAATCCAATCAGAATATTTTTTATTTTGTTTAAAATTAAAATTTAATTTTGATCACTGTTTAAATTCTCTAGTTGTATGCATATAATGGTGCGTTATACCTAATACCCTAACTATCCTTAAATTATAGTAATGCACTAACATTTAAGACATTTATTTGCATAATTATCTATAGCAGCGGTTCCCAAACCGTGTGATGCGCCTCTTTTGGGTGGAGACCTTAACAAGAGTGGTGCAGCACGCAGTTTGGAATTTTATTCATATTGTTATTTTAAAATATTGGTCCAAACTCACTGTGGAAAAATAAATGCGTGTTGCAGTAACTACATTAATTCCTAATTTTGAAAAATGTATAAACGAAAAACAAGCACATTGTTCGTATTAATTATTTTGTATAGAATAAAATATTAAGTTTACTTTTTTTTTGTCATCAAAATTTAAATTTAAAAATAACAAATATTATATATTAAACAATTTTTAACTTATTTTATTGAATATTATTTGAGGGAGGCATGAAAAAAATGTTTAATTATTTGGGAGCCTTGAATGAAAAAATTTGGGAACTGCTGATCTATAGACCTAAATATACATAAATTAATTATGCAAATACTAATATGATGTATAGTTAATTCCAAACAGCTTGTCTCAATTTGCATTGTTTTCAATTTTGGYATTTAATTACTATTTACTTTAACTATATGTTTGACACATAATTTTCCTATATTTTAAATAACTTACATCAAGACATTATTATTTATAAGTTAAATAATAACTTAAATTTTGTCATATTATATGATTCAAACCTAAATGAGAGATTAATTTAAGCACTATTCAGCACTGTTTAAGATTAACATGTACATTATTTTTATGAACAATATCTTGGATGTTACAATTTTTAACCTAATCATTTGTCATTGGTTATAAATCTATATCTATCTCAGTTGACTACTATATTACACTTCATTTATTTAATTGGTTGAGGTAAAAAAAAATAATAATGTAGCTTAATATGTGGTCAATTACAGACATGACATGAGTTAAATACTTGGCCATTTCAAAAAACTAATTTCTATCTTCATTTGCACACCAACCATCTTAACATTAGACACTAAACCATAAAGCTTATCATTCATACCCTCTAAAGCACTGGCCTAACTCCCAACTATGATTTAATTTAGGCAACATTTTTCCTGTATGATACATATGAAATACTATGGCAAATGTTTATCTGTTTTACGATTGAGCTTTCTGAACCGCATTGACTTGGAAGTTCTGTRGATAGCAACTAAGTTAAATTAAATAAAAAGAACTTCATCCACTCAAAATATGTACATTCTAGCGATGTTCAGTTTAAAAATCAAAATTTTCTAAGAAGAATACTAGAATGTCTAAAATAATTTTTATTTAGGAAACACTTTTATCAGTGGCGGACTGGAATGAAAAGGCCCGGGGTGYTGAAACATTTTTAGGGCCCTATCAATATATTATAAAATAAAAAAAACCAATTAATGCATTTTTCTATTTAATTTTCAGCAAATTTTACATTTTATTTTTATATTATAATGTTTTGATGATAAATAAAAATGAATASGAATAAATTATTATGGATGGCAAATACCTAATAATAAAGTAATTATTTTCAACATTTATAACTTTCATAGTTTTACAATAGGCCCGGGGTGCGATCGCACTTTAGCAGTTTAGCACCTAGGGCCAGTCCGCCACTGACTTTTATTATAAATTAAAACAAACGTACCTACTTGTGATTCACAAGTTAATATGGCCTCAGCATGATTTTACCTAAATTAACTGCTTATCACTCAAAAGAATATTTTCCTAGTTCCTACTATAAGTATTATAAAATAAGGTTAATGATTGTCCACAATATATACGGCAAACAAAATTTCAATACCTAGTTAATGTTATGATATTATTTAGATTGTATATACGATATAGGTACCTAATATAATTCAGAAATAACTAACTATCTAAATCTTGGGTAGGTACGTGCGTAAGGAATTTAGATAWAACGAGATAAATTATATAAAATATGAATACGTGATATACACCTAAAACGGCTAAAACTATTGGAATGTATATGTTGTTATTCTATGCGTACATGTTAATTATTCACAAAATATAATATATCAGAGGTGGCCAAACCACCGCTACTCGCTAGCGTCATAGGGCCATGCGACTCGCCTTATCATAGGTTAGGTTAATTATGACACGGTTTATAAGACGTAAAACATTCTTTTTTTCTAATAAGTATTTTGAAAACAAAATTTAATCTGACATTCAATTATTGTAAGTTATGATATTTTTTTTGCATTCGGGAATCCTACATATTTTATTGTACCTATCTAATATTGTAAATAATTTACAATAAGTAATATTGAGAACCTTTTTTCTTTGCTCCCGGCTCTCACATACCTATTTAATATTTTTCATTATACCTACTGCGCAGCTCACGGCTCTTATCACTGGCGACTGGTCAGTGGCCACCTCTGAGATATAACATTATATTTATAACATACCTAACTATATTATAGTTTTGATTATGACATTACTCATTATAAAACCTCATCATTAAATTATTCTAATATGTGGTTTATCGATGTATATTCTGAACAGAACGAACGAGCAATGGCCAATGAATAAATAAATGTTTTTTTTTTTTGTGTGTGTACATTATAAAAAAAAGTCCATGGGGTGGATTCATCTATTATTTTTTTGTTTTTAAAACTTGAATAACTTTTAATGAGGTGGAAATTCCGTTTCTCTGTTATAATAAATTGTAGCCTCTCGGCTGTTTCCTGTGCAAACAGTTTTTTCATATAGGAAATTTGTAAGACATAGAGTAGGTACTCATAATATTTTTTTCGGTTTCCTGATTATTTTAAAAAATACTGTTAATATTCAATATTGACTTCTTAAAAGTACTAACTAGATCAAATTTGGTATTAGAAATCGCCATCAAAGTTGAAAATTAAATCATTTTTTAAATTTTATATTGTGTATATTATTCATTCAAGATCTGATAACCATAAATTATATTTTTAACAATCAAATRGTGCATGTTAAAAATCAGTTATATGCCCGGATGCCTTCCTCTCYCATGACAAAATCATTTGGCCGCCACTGCTCTAAAGCTTCCCTGTGTGGTTCCATCTTCTATCCCACACAAAACCTATTGTGGTATGTTGAACTTTGAACAATTGTAAGACGGAGACAACATGTTTATAGATATCAAAAATTTCAACCAAAACATTCAAAACCATAGTTTTTGACTAAAATGATTTTTATTTTGCCATTTTTAACTTAAAAATGAATAATCGTTAATAAATAGTATGCCTATCTTATATGAAATGGACAAAAGGTCTAATTTTTAAAATAGTTATTTTGACTCATTTGACATAAAATATAATATTAATATTAATAATATTTATTAATATAACCTCCCTATTATACTTATTGAAATATAAACCGACACAGACATAGTCTTCGTTTAGATTCGTTTTTCATAGGTATGCAATGATTCATCATTTAATATTTGAATTAAATTACCTAGTTACTGGGCTAAACGAGCCTTTTAGAATATATTATTATATTAATAATATAAAATAAAAATTATA